CAGCAAAACTTGCTGCACAAAAGAAGAAAGAAGTGATTGTGAGAGGAGTTCTTTCTGTAACAGTAATGTCGGCTCAAGATCTTCCAGCCGTTGATCTTATGGGAAAAAGCGATCCTTATGTTGTACTTTTAATGAAAAAAACAGAACAGAAATTAAAAACCAGGGTAATTTTTTTTTATTTTTTTAACATTTTCACCAAAATCCATCGTTCTAAATGTTTTTTTTTTTTTTGCAACAAATATACAAATGGTTGCTAGAATTTATAGCCATTGAGGGTTTTAACAAAAATCCAAAAAAAACACTATACATGAAAGTTTAAGGTCGATAAAAACCAGTACTCTGATTTATTTTATGATTTAAACATTAATTTTGAAATTAAAAAATAAAAAAGCAATCTTAACTACAAAAATATTCTTCTGAATGTTTTTGCAATTTCATTACCAAAAAAATAAGTCGTGGAGTTTTTTTTTTAAAAGAAAAAATTCGGTAATTAAACCAGAAAAAAGCTGGTTCGGTAATGAATTTTAAAGGAATTTGGTTATTTTATGTTTTTGTGTCATACTATCATGAATTAAATGTTTTGCTAAATTGCTTAGATATTGGTTGGTTTTTATTGGATAAGTTATGATATTTCAATGATTTGATTTTTTTCAGGTTATAAATAACACCTTGAATCCTGTATGGAATCAGACATTTGACTTTGTTGTGGAAGATGGATTACGTGATTTGCTAATGTGTGAAGTGTGGGATCATGATACTTTTGGAAAGGTACACATCTTTTTTTTCATATTCAATACATTTCGTATTTGCTAAATAAATAGATAAGTTAAGATGGGACCACAAATTGAAATAAAATAAATAAAAGTAACCAAAATATAAATATATGTTTTACTCTCTTTGGCATACTACTTTATTTTTATTGTTATGTTTGTCATACTAAAAAATGGTTTATAAAATAATTTTTAAAATGCTATTCGGACTAACGAATCAATAGGCTTATAGAGTTTTCTTTAATGATATTTTGTAACAACTGTAAAAAAAAATGTTTTATTAAATTCTACACATCCGAAAAGAATACATCTTATTTTTTTACTAGTTTATGTGTTTTAAAATCACTTTTAAGATTGAATTTATTCTTCTACATGTTTATTTATATACTTTTGCATTTCTTGATAGTTTAGCATCAAACATCAATTTATATTAGTCGTCTTTTAAGCTAGTATAGTTTTATGGTCATTAGTTTTTTTTTTTTTTTTTTTTTTAATCTATTTTGGGTCTTGTATCAGGATAAAATGGGTAAATGCATCATGACACTTACGAGGGTGATATTAGAAGGCGAATATACCGAAACATTTGACTTAGAGGGATCTAAAGCAGGAAAGTTGACTCTGCATCTTAAGTGGACCCCACAAACAATTATTCGTGATCCTTGATAAATCAAAACTCAATTGTTCGTCATTTGCATCACGATCAATAGAACTTAAAGGCTTTGTGCAATGAACTCACATGCAAAAACCTTACGGTTTCAACTTTATAGAAGAGTACACAAATAAAAAGAAAACAACCACATTAACAAGTCTTTTGCGGGTTTTTTTTTTACCTTGATTGAATTCGTTATTTATTTTTTTCTTAGTTATTATTATTTTTTATTTTTGAGGTAACTGTAAATGATATATAGATGACAAATCTTTGTACCAGTTAAAATTATAGTCCCTTAATATGTGTCTTTCAACTTTGCTAGTCAGGGGGTTTAATCGGGTTTTTCATCCAAAAAAACCCAACTCGATAACCATCCGTCCAAACCGAATTACCAAATGGGCTTCCGTTAACCGGATCATCAATTGTATTAATTTTCACGATTTATATTTTATTTTTTGTTCATTAGTATTTACATTTTTGTAATTAAAATCCATACATTGGGTAGGGCCCGAATTAAACAACTCAAAATTGAACACTTTCACCTGAAATTTATTTTGGTTTAAGCCAAAACCGAAATCTAAACCCGTAGGAATTAGGACCTGTATGAGAGCACCGAAACATAAACCGGATTGGATGGGTTATTAAAATCACAAGGACTTTTGAGCAATTTTGATTTGGTTAAGGGTATTTTAGCAAATTGCCTTACTTTTAGGTGCAACTATCTTTTCGTGGAGTACAACCTAAGCTTATCATATATCATCATGACAACTTTATAAAGTCAACTAGGAGAGTAAATTTTGGACTTATTATGGAGTGGGAATCAGATGCAACTCGCTATAAAAAGATAGATTTTAGTCCTATAACTATCGGGCTAGATTATTTCGGTCCTCTAAATTTTGACATATTTATAGGGGACAAGACGTAGTTACATATAGACCCGAACATCTTAATCGGTTTAGGGTTAAAAAAGTTTGGATCAATATAGAACCATACAGTCTTGATCTAGTCTAGACCGGGTCACTCTCATGTTTAGCAACCCGTTGGTCTTTATATAGTCTTAAATCGGTCAAAAGTTGGTCTGATTTTGGTGCTAAACTAGTCTAAAAATCATCCAAATCCGGTCCAGCTTATATACCGGTCTTCAGTAATTCCCAAATTTTGAATTATAACAGCTATAATCGACAAGCAATGACTACTTTCCGGTCTTGGGTCAAACTGGTCCCAAATCCTTTTTTATCTCTAGAAATCTCTTATATTCTCTCTTGATTTCATCATTTTAAGCAATCTTTAAACTAAAATCATAAAATGTCGGGAGCCCAAGGTAGTTGTACATATTGGTCCGGTTTTGATCCAACTGTATCTTTTGAGGAAGTTAGCAAATGAAGTTGTATCACGCCATTTTCATATTAATTCACATAATCCAAACAAAATAACAAACTCATTAGTAGATCACTTAGCTTGTATATGTTATATCCAACTCCAATAGCATGCTATATTGACAATTGTAATGTAAGTTTTTATAAATTCTAACTAAACTATTAAGTGAATATCATAAAGAATACATTCCCATGATCTCCACCACAAGATTACTTGACTCTTCTTTAAGAGTTGCATATAATTTTTGGAGTATTATATCAAACAACAATGATGATATCACAAGCTTATTTCCCTAACAACTAATGTTGTTTTGTTTAGTATTTGTGAACTAATAAAAACAATATTGATGAGTATTGAATCATAAAAATTACTAATGGAAGGCTATTATTAGTGAAACTAGGTGTAAGACACATGTATTAAATGAGTTTATTTAAAAGAAAAACTAAATACAAAATTCTAAACATTTAAGAAGTTTGTATTTATAATAAAAGTGAGAAAAATATTGAATTATAAAAGTTAAAGTGTTTTTTTTCTCATTTAAATTTAAACAAATAATTTAGATAAATAAATAAAGAAAATTAATGAATCTTTAATTTAGTAATTTTGAAATTAGAAGGAAAGTTCATTAATGAAATTGATATACATTTATTATTGCATTTAAATAATATTTGGAATTTAATAAAATGAAAAAAACCATAAAATGACATGCGGAATAAAAATTAATTTAAAAAAACCACAAAATTACATGTGACAAAATAAATGAGAATGTGACATGTGGAAAAAAGATCTTTGTTTATTAGGGAGGATGACAACGACAATTATAAAAAATATTTTGAAAACTTTCTAACGATTTTATGATTTATTTGACATTAAATACATATATTAAATTTAAAGGTGTAATCAAGAGTATTACTACTAATCTACTATTAGTCAACTTTTGGGTCATAATGATATTAAAATTATGATTAATAAAAACATTTAACTTTTTAGTGTGAAAACAAACATTTACAACTTAATTACTTATATAAATGTATCCGGAAATTTTCAGAAAAGTCTCTAAACTTTAATAGTATTTATAAAAAAAGTCATGACTTTATTTTTTTTCTAGGAAATGTTATAAAATTGGAAAATTTGTAAAATTTAATTTGACCTGAAATAGCATGTCAACTGATGTAGTAGTTTTTTTAAAATCAAAAATAAGGATCATAATCAAAGTTTTTTTTTTTCTAAAACTATCTATATATTTATATTTATTATCGTACTGTAGTCTTAATATGATTCTTTTGTTTTTGTTTAATATTATTTTGTTATTGTATTGTAATCTAATGAGATTTTCACAATCTAAGAAAAAAAATTATTGTACTTTCTCTTTTAAATCTAGATAATCTGGATTACAAATAATATTATTATTGTTTTTTATTGTATTTTTACATGATAGAGAGTTTTATCATTTTAATGTTATTAATTATATCTATAATATTGTAGTATTTTTAGTGTAATATTGTTGTGTGTTTTCAATGTAATCTAAATTCCAGATCAAATAGAGAAAGTAATATTTTTTAACTTTAAAATTTTATGTTGTTGCAAGTTTATTGTTCATATTGTCTCATGGTTTGATATGTGGGGAGGTTGTTATATCTAATTTTTGTTTTAGTTGTGTAATTTTCTTTTGTAGTTATTTACATTGTATTTTTGTCGATTATTTTTGTTTTTAATAAATACTTTTGTTAAAATAATTGATGGTGCAACAACTACTCAGTTTAGTACATCTTGGATTTTGTGACAAATAAATTTTGTGTTTGAGTATCACTTTGTAGATTGGACTTGGAGTGCAATTTTGGAAATAATATAAGGATAATTTATGTAATTTAGTCTAAATGCATTTCAAATTTATTAGATTTCAACACATATTATGTAAAACCAAAAAATAGTGGAAATCACATGCACCTAAGTACCAACGGATCATACTTGAGCCGGAGACATCGATTATGGATTTTTACTTTTTCGTAGCTAAGATAGGTTTTTCATATTTTTTCATCCAATAATTTGACTTACGCAAAATCGTAATTTTAGAGATCGTGAGTATCATAACAAAAGTAAATGGATTACACTTGCAAGTTGGCTATAAGTTAAAGGACCAATTTTGTAACTTTGGAAATTATACAACAAATTAAAGATTACTTACTACCTTTGTCTTGATATGGAGGAAGCACAACTTTCGCGGATTAGAATTTTTTAGACAAAATAAGCAAAAGACAGCTTGGTCATCATTTAAGCGAAGAAAGGGTGAAGAAAAATTGATAAAAAGAGGCTTCATTTTAACTGCGGCATTTTCAACACATAAAAAGGCTTCAAAATCATGGCGTTTCTTTATCGCGTCTTCCTCCTCGTTTTCTCCAGGAATTAATGCATAGAAAAGCTTAGATCAGGGGACATCAAAAACCCCATTTGACAGGACATTTCAAAGTGATTTCTGTCGGTGGGAATTGGGGATTTTTCAACTTTTGAGGCGATCTCAAAGATCTTGGTGGGGAAACCTTAGATCTTTGGTGTTTACTTGCAAATAAACAACAAAGGTTTGTGGGTTTTTCATTATAATTGATGGGGTGGAGATATAAAGCTGGGTTGTTTATGATTGGTGCTGTTGTCATCATATGGGTCTTCTCCGCAGAAGTCACCCAGGTCAAACTCTTAGATTTCTCGTATTAACTTCTAATTTTCGTACTGTTCTATTGTTTTTATCAATTTTCTTCTTAATCGATGAGGATATGCGATTGGAATTCTCAACATTGGCTATCTCCGTATATGTTTGTGGGTGTGCTTGACTTTTTGTTGTGAGTTTTTCTGATAACTTGATGTTTTTGGTGGGATTTAACCCTTTAAATGATTAGTAATTTACTTGTATTCAGGGTTATGTTTGAGGTTTCATAATTTGAGTTAGATCACATGAGTTTCTTGAATCCGGGACTAATTTCAAGACTATTTGGTAGGAAATTATTTGGTGGTTATACATGTTAATAGGGAATAGGGATTCGATCATCACATAATGGAATATATGTGCATTTTAAGTTGATTTCAAGTAGAATTATATGGCGTCTGCAGTTGGAAGGTGTTAAGATGTTTCATATATCACACACCAAATTAACTCAATTGCTCATTGTGTCATTGTGAGTTTGGAAAAAATTCCTCAATTGTGCTTTGTAGAGGGGCATTTTTGACATATCCCTAAGATGTTAACACTAGAATAAGGGACCAAATTCTGACTATTTTGTACATTAAAAACAGGGGATTTTCACAGACTATAAACAGCCATTTGCAGTGACATATCTTGGAGCTTCATTGATGGTTATATATCTCCCAATTGCATTCATCAAAGATTGGATAATAAAGTTACTCAAGAAAAGAAAAAATCAATCCCCTGTTTCATTGAACTCCCCTCTTAAATTCATTGGTGGCTCAACAGTATTTGAATTGGAAGGTGACAAATCATCATTAAGTCGAAAAGCTAGTGATCATGATATTGCTATTCAAGAAGAAGGAAACCCTTTAGTCCCTAAAACCAAAAATGATAATTTGCCATTAAAACATGAAACACAAGTTACAACAAGGGAGGTTGCTACCTATGGATTCTATATTGCACCTATTTGGTTTGTCACTGAGGTAACTATCTATGTTCATGCAATTTTTTTTTTTTTTTTTTTGAGTTTAAAGATGATTTTTGATACAAACAGTCAAAAGATCTTTGACCAAAATGTTGACTTTTTCAGTCAAATAAGCTGTTTTTCAACTTCAAATTGCATATGATTCGTTGTGAAATTTGGATAACAAACCCATGTGAAATCGTTGATCTACAACAAAATCCTATCAGAATTTCTAATTTGTAGTTCAATAAGTTTGACCTTGAAAGTAATAAATAGGGTTTAATGCAAGAAACAACAATATACTTGTATTTCTTTGTTTATTATAGCATCCTACTTTCATTTCTTCCTAATTATAGCAATATCATCCAAATATAATTTTCAAAGTTCAGTGTCCTAATTAGAAAAAAATACGAATATAATGTCTTAACATGAAAAAAATTAAACATAAGACATGAAAACTTGCATGTAGCCCTAAAAGTATGATTCTTTCCCAAGGATGGAGGGTATAACTGTAATTTGACTTGTTCTTTATGCTTTCATTTGATGACAGTATCTATCAAATGCTGCACTTGCACGTACAAGTGTTGCTAGTACAACAGTGCTTTCATCAACTTCAGGGCTATTCACTCTTTTCATTGGTGCATTTTTGGGTCAAGATTCCTTAAATGTCACAAAAATTGTTGCTGTTTTTGTCAGCATGGCTGGTGTTGCCATGACAACCATGGGAAAAACTTGGGCTGCAGATGAAGTAGCTTCAACTTCCAATTCGTAAGTCCCTCCCTCTTTCCCCTTACAAATTTACACTTTTAGTCCCTGTCTTATATCACTTTTTGCATTTTCACCCCTCTCCTTCTTAATGTTTTTCTCGGTAATGTTGTTAGAGTCTTGAAAACCGTCTCTGTCTCTTTGCAAGAATGCAATAGAACGAGAGAAGGGTTGTAATATTTATCTTTTTTAGAAAAAAAAAAGTGTAGTGTTTAGTTTTTTCATGAATTTGGTGTTGTTATTGAATGTTTCAGGGCATTGAGTTTGACTGATATATAGTTGACCTTTTTGTTTCTTTTAAAGAAATGGCGATCGCTCTCTCGTTGGCGATCTCTTCGGGCTTTGCTCAGCTATGTCATATGGCCTCTTTACCGGTCAGTATCATCTTATCATCTTTTCTTTTTCCAATTTCAAATTATTTCAAATTATTCCTTATTAGAACATCATTCTACTTTGAAAAATCTACACAATTATTATAGCAATGGTAACATATTTTATATAGTTTGGATGATAATAAAAAATTATTTTTATTTAACCCTTTTACAGTGCTTCTTAAGAAATTTTCCGGGGAGGAAGGAGAGCGCGTTGATGTGCAAAAATTGTTTGGATATATCGGTTTGTTTACACTCGTGGCTCTATGGTGGCTCGGTAAGTCAGTCTACACATTTGGAATAAATACTACTCATTAATTTTGCCTATAATAAATATTCTCTAATGTACTGTATTTGACATGCATTGGACTGCGACTGATATTGATACTGATACTGATGTCAATGTTGCAAAAATTGTACTTTTCTGTCTCACCCCACCCAAAAATTCTATAAAAAAAGCATGAATGCCCTCCTCGTCGTTATTGAAAATAGCCTTAGAAAGCTTGTTTGAGTGCTACTTCACTTTTTTTTTTTTTCATTTAATTTATGATGGATTTTTGTGGTAATTTCAGTTTGGCCACTAACGGCATTAGGAATTGAACCAAAGTTCAAGATTCCACACTCGGCTAAAATGGATGAAGTGGTTATTGCAAATGGACTTATTGGGAGTGTTCTTTCCGATTATTTTTGGTATGTAAATAAATATAATCTATTGAAATTTGTATTAAATGACTAAAGGGGATTGATTTTATTTTTTGTGATTTAGGGCATTATGTGTTGTATGGACGACTCCATTGGTGGCCACCTTGGGCATGTCACTCACCATCCCGCTTGCCATGGTGGCGGATATGATGATCCATGGCCGCCATTATTCCGCCATTTACATTCTTGGTTCCGCTCAGGTAATTATAATTGTTGTAAGGGTATTTTAGACATTTTACCTACACTGTTTGGTAAATATATAACATTCTATTGTGGTTAATTTACAGGTATTTGCTGGGTTTGTGATTGCTAATCTTCCGGATAAAATTTCCAAGAAAATTGGATTATAGCACGTGATTCATCATCACTAACTCTTAAAGATTCTTGGTTTCAAATCTTGATTGAAGCTGATTTGCCAATCATCAAAGGTGAATATGGTTGAATTGTATGATGGGATTTGATTGTTTGAAAATGAACTCTTGGTGAAGTTGCTTGAAGAGGCTCATGATTAAAATTGTGATATATGATATGAATACTTCTTTTTTCTTATTGATTTAAGTTTTGTTTTTCAATTTTGTGGGAATTTGTTAGGACATGCAAGATTGGTAGATCATTTGTACTAACCTTTTAAACATGTTAATATCAAATGTCTTGATTTGTTTTGTTTTTTTTTTGGGTAAATTTGCATATTGATTCAAGTTATGTTCATAAGGCTACGGGGTGTTTACATGTTATAACCTGCTAAATTAGGATAACGCATGATGTGTAATTACATGTCAAGAGATATTATTGTTCAAGCACCGCATGCGACCACTATATGTCATGCATCACAAGCATATATTGTGTTTATTTGTAAAGCCAATAGCGCCTTAGAAATAGTTAGATATGTCATGTAATAATGACACTAGTAATAGTATGTGTCGCTCGTCTAATGGCACCAATAATAATGTGCATGTATGAAATATTTCTATAAAAAGATTGTCGATCGATGGAGATCAAATCATTGAAAATTTATGAAAAACGAATTTATTCTTAAATGTGTGGTGAAGTTTTAACTTTAGAATAACATATCATCTATCAAAATTACCATACAAGCATTCGACGATCAGCCAAATATCATTCCGTAAGAACAACACTAACAAGTAGTAATTGGTATCATTGTTCTTTAATAAGAAATTATATTTTCATTTTCTAATTTTTTTGGTGTTAATGGTATTCCTCAAAAAGTTTTTCTTTTATTTATTCTTCGTAAAAGAATTTTAAGAGCATGGATGTATATCTTATTTTGTATTCAATTTCTAGAATCGGTCATGATGATGATGATGATGATGATGTATACACACACCATGGCCAATTCTAAAAATCAAATACAAAATAATATATACATCATTGCTCTTAAAATTTTTTTATGAAGAATAAATAAAAGAAAATCTTTTTGGGGAATACCATTAACACCAAAAAATTTAGAAAATGAAAATAAAAAGTTTCTTGTTTAAGAACAATGATATCAATTAGTACTTGTTAGAATTTAAAATTATTATTAGCTAACATTATATTCTATTTTTGTTTTAAACTCTTATGCTTGTATGGTAATTTTGATGGATAATCTACTATTTAGTAGTTAAAACTTCAACACAAACTATTTTTCATTTTTTTTGATGATTTTATTTCTAAAGAACGACGATGCATTTATAGACATATTTCATACATGCACCTTATTACTGGTGCGATAAGAACGATCACATAGACATATACTATTACTAGTGACATAGACACATACTATTACTAGTGACTTATCACATGTCATATCCAGTAGGACGCTATTGACTTTACACACATAATATTACTAGTGGCATAGACACATATTATTACTAGTGTGATTATTACATGACATATCCAACTATTTCTAGGGTACCATTGACTTTACAATTACATTACAAAATAATAACATACTACTATTCAAGACATATTTCAACACACTACATTATTAATTTTTGACAGGTAGTGATGACATAGTATGCGGTGATGGTGGTTGGGTTGCATGACATGTGTTATAACTTGCCAAATCAGCATAACGGGTGATGCGTTAACACCATACCACATATACTGTTTTTCTATAATTGTTGAATTTGATCTTTTGTAGAAAAACAATGTAAAGTTGTACGTCATCTTCAGTGTTTGCGATGATTTTTTTAGTAAATTGTGAATTATGTATTTACAAATTACGATTTGTATTAGCAATGATTTATAAACTGCATTTACCATTTGTGGTTGAATAACTTGCCTTAGTTTTTCTGACTTTCCGTGATTTAACATATGATTTAATAAAAATGTGTGGTTATTGGTTAAAGATTTGGGGGGTACGTTGATGTGCTTTTCTAAGTATGATTGATTGAAGCACTTGATATCATAGTGTATTTAGTTGGTTTTTGGATGAGTAAACCGTTTTTGGTTTCAATTATATCATTAGAGTTTAAATACTCTAAGCAATCTATAGACCTAACTTCTTATCATGCACAACTAGTTTCCTTATACCATATCCAAGGATTTAGACCTAAATATTTCAAATCATAGACCTATTATCGCATGCACAACTTGACTATGGTCTGAGACCTTTTTAATTTTTTTTTTCTTCTTGGTTGCAAGAATTGTCGTTTGATCAGGTGGTCAGAAATTCTTGGCTTTTACAACAAGATCTTGATGAAGGGGGTGCTTGCATTCAGTTTAAGAACAAACTAAAGTGTTTGAAACAATCTATTAGGGATTGGTGGTCTCATGAGAATGCAAAAAAGAACGTTGAGATAAAAGTGTTGAATGACAGATTAAAAGTTATTGATAGATTAATTGACGAAGGAAAAAGTTAATTGTCATTGATGGAGGAAAGAGGTAATATCCATTTTCACCTAGCTACTTTCGAAAGTAAAGAGATGAAGGACGTGGCACAAAAAGAAAAAATAAAATGGAGGAAACATATAAATACCTTGTTGTGATTGTGTTTTTTCAAAAACAATTTTGTAGAGTAACAATGTAGTTTTTCGTAATTGTATGTAATGTCTGCAACGTCAATCTTCCTTAAATACACGGAAGAAGACAATTACGAGGGAAAAACGACGCCTAATAATATTGACTCAATAAAGGATTTAGTGGGAAACTACATTTTTGGGCCCATCTAGGGGTGTTGCCTCCGGAACCCCAAATTTCCGAGGATAGATTTATCAATTCAAGTATGCACCTCGCACCTTTAGTCTCGAAACATAAACTGAACTCAGTATGTGTCGGTATTAATCATGACTATACCAAAATATGTTGATAACACTAAAATCACCTAACTTTCTTCCTCCATTTTAGTGTAATCCTTAATTAACTAAAAGGCAAACACAAAACCAAACTCATGCATTAATAAAAATGTATTGAAGATTGAATTTTTATATTAGTATAATACACATTTAAAATACTTGAGAATCTGTCCTAAGTATTGAACATTTCAACTCATTTGAGTAACTGAAGATTGTTGGGTTTAATTCAAAAATCGTTTTCTAAAAGCACTAAAAACGACAACGGAAACTTTAAAATGTTGAATAAACTAAAAATCATTTTAACCCACTAGTGATCATTTTGCATGAACATGAATGATTAAAACAACCATAGAAAGAAAAGATTACAACCTTTAAAAACTTTGATTCTTCATGGGAGGTTGGAAGTTGTAGAAGATGGAAAAAGTACAAATGAGAACTCATTTAAAGTTTGTGTAACACTCTAAATTTTCAAATAAAATTTTCATTTTTAATTCCACACAAAACACTGTTTAACATCTCATACGCAAATCATAATTGTCTCAAAACACAATCACAAAAACTGTTTGACTCATATCCCAGAATCCTCAAAACATAAATCAATAAGCTGGTGTGTACAATCATGTCGGCGCCTTCCCGCGATCCTGAGATGTACCTGAAACACATTTCACACAGCACTGTAAGCACAAAGCTTAGTGAGTTCCCCAAAATATCATACACAAATAATTAGCCTCTCATGGCTATATCTCGATAAAGACCCTCCGGTCATGTGTCTCAGTGAAGACCCTCCGGTCTCACGGCTCGAGTTGGACCCTCCAGTCCTGTATCTCAGCGAGAACCCTCCGATCTTACAGCTCGGTCTGGACCCTCTGGTCCTATCTCAATAAATGCAAAGAATAATATACAACATAAATCACAAAGACAAAATACATAATATCACATATCTCAGTATAAGCACATAAGACCCTCCGGTCAATAACACATATATGACCCTCCGGTCGCACAGTAATTACCACTCTGGTAAGTATAGTGAGAAGACTCACCTCGTGAAATAAAGCAAGTAAATCCCACACCCGAACTGCCGGTCTAGACTCCGCCTAACATATGTCACATATATCTTTAATTAAAACTTGATATAAAAAATCCTCAAAATGTTGGCTAAGTCTCTCTACTAAACCCTAGAAGGGTAAAAGACCATTTTACCCCTCCATGGCCTCCAAAGTCCACAACTTGACCAAAACCCTAAAAGTCAACAGAAGTCAACACCCAACGCGTACGCTGGGCGTACGTCCCTCTACGCTAGGCGTACAGTCAGCCATGCATGCATCAGGGTGGTTTAGCGCTACGCTGTGCGTAGTTGGGAGTACGCACGGCGTACTCCCCAGATTTTTTCTTTTCACTCTTTTAGTCTTAATCTGTTAAGACCATTGCTACTACTATAGCTCTGGGCTGAATAAGGTCCATTACTCCATAAAGTTGGTGACTTTAAGCCTTAGCATGGCTGGACAAGTCTAAAACTCATAAACTCTAATCCTGTACTCACAAAGGTTCTCATATCTCATGCATGGAGAGATCTTAATGACCAAGATCTCATTTTTATAAGTCCAGACGACTAGAAACACCTAAATGGACATGTATTATGCTCTGGAGTTCACCAAACTCATAAAGCTTCAAGCTTGGGACATAAAACCCTAAAAATGGACCAAAATATGAACTAATCAAAACATTGAGAAAGCTTTAAGCTTGATACCTCTGGATGATGCACAAACCACAGAAAATCTCAGATCCGAAAGCTTGGACACCAACTCTTCTTCCTTCAAGCTCCTTCTTCACAAAAGAATTCCACAAGAACACTCAATAAGCTCATAATTGCTCTCACAAGCTAAGGAAACGAGATTTAGGGTTTAAGGGAAGTTGGAGGCTGGAAATGAGGCCATCATGTTCCTTAAATAGGGACATACAACACAGTTAGGGTTTACACTCTGAGCCTAGTACGCCCAACGTACTAGGTGGCCTCCACGTCCATAATACGCACATGAGTACGCTGAGCGTACACACGCGTACGCCCCGCGTACTCATTTGCCACCTTTTTCTCAATTAATGGCTAGTTTTGACAATTCAATAAAAGTAAGGGTCATCGATACATACCTTATCTCAGGATGTTACAGTTTGACATCAATTACAACCAAATTATCTTGAATGCTAGTCCATCTTGTAATAAAAAAAAAACTTTTAAGCAATTAAGACAAATAAACAAGCTTGTCTTAAAAGAGAGTATTCAAGTATCATCTTCATCTAACTCCGTCTTCAACAATTAAGACATACACACACGCACACACACACACACACACACACACACACATATATATATATATATATATATATATATATATATATATATATATATATATATTGAGAGAGAGAGAGAAGAAGAAGAAGAAGAAGACAAAATCGGAATTCACTAGCCAAGGAAAGAATAAGATGCAAACTTCTTAAACCCTTTAAGAATGATCTTTACCGTTTGTGTTTACTAACTTTAGGACACCATGTCCCTAGCAGTTAAAGTCTAGTGATTAAAGGAGTATGACTTTTTATTAAATAAAACTAGCAACCCATGCCCCATACTCTCTTTTGTTCTCAGCAATAGTAGAAGAAAGAAAGAAGAAAACTTGCCATGCATGTAAAAAATAACTAGCCTTTAAAAGCCTTTTGAAATGTTTATATCTTGCATGTATTATGCTTCCCATGTACCATGATTTTAATGATTATAAAGAACACAACCTTTCAAAGCATGTTTCGTTTATTAAAATAACTATAAAAGACATGAACCAGCTACATGACTAGTTGGTAGCATTTACTTTCAAATAAGAAGATAAATAACATTTTTTTGTTTAATTCTTTTACAAACTATGTACATATCTTTTATACCGAAAACTCTTTATATATACAAGATTATATATATATATATATATATATATATATATATATATATATATATATATATATATATATATATATATAAAAGATAGGTTAATTGCTTACAAGTTATCAGTTTACCTCAAATTAACTACTTGCATCATTTCAAGATTAATGTATATTCTGTCATAGATATACAACTTTAAAAACTCAACAACCATTTTAATAAAGTAAATAAGACAATACTTGTTTCTATGGTCTTATTAATTTCCTCATAAGTCTTTTCAAGCATTTAAAATGAAAGAACTATTTAAAAAAAAAATCCTAACTAATTATGAGAAAATGACCTTAGATCGTATAGAACAAATGTTCACAATTATATTGTAGATAATTGTGGATGTGTATGGAGATAGCAAGATTTAATAACTTGGAAGGAATTGAAAACTTAACAAATATGATGGTTGAATCACATAAACACACAATATATGATAATATCTAATGATATATTTTCGAATAATATCAACATTGATTTGATCGTTGCAACATCTACCATGGATCATGCATTTTCAACAATAAATTTGATAAGAAACAATTTTGCGCAATTAAAGGAATGATCAATTTATGAATGTCTTTTACATATTATTAGCATAGATATATTTATAGACAGTTTAGTAAGACACTTTTCTTGGATGTTATTATTAACAATCTGACCCGATAACAAAATCTTTTAAATTTGTTTATATGGCATTCAAAATTAGTTGAGACATGAGTTTGAATTTGAATACTACTATTCTTGTTAGTACTCTGAAATCACGGCTATGCAACAAATTCTCATATATGAAATCATAAGACCATAAACATTCATAAATAAAAGAAAAGTTAACCGTTTGATTAAATAAATCATAACAAAATCTTTTAAATTTGTTTATATGACCTTCAAAATTAGTTAACACATACGAGTTTGAATACTGCTATTCTCGTTAGTACTCTCAAATAACGATTATGCAACAAATTCTCATGATCAATAAGACCATAAACATTCATAAATAAAAGAAAAGTTGCACGTTTGATTAAATAAGTCATTGGATTTAAAAATAAGAGAAAACATACATGTTTGATTAAATAAATCATGGATTTCAAATGGAGATGCAGGGGATCGAACCCTGTACCTCTCGCATGCAAAGCGAGCGCTCTACCATTTGAGCTACATCCCCGTTGTTCATTGTCATCAATTTTTTTTTGTAACCCATAACTTCATCTGCCTGCCATTAAGTTTACCACTGAAGAAACCTCTATCCGAAGCACAAACTTGTGTTGAAGGGTGGATTTCAGAGAGCCCAAAAATGGCTGCTCTCCAGTTCTTCAAGTGTTACAAACCCTTGTTCCGAATTCAATCTCGAAAAATCTTCATCACCAGTGGCAGTATAACTAATAAGAATTTCCAGAAAACCAGTAGGAATATAGTTAGGCTTCTTTGTTCTTCTTCCACATCGCTGGGGCAGTCGACCTCTACGAAAACCAACGCCTATGGTGAGGATGAAAAGAAATCGAAAGAGCAGCAATTGTGGTTGTATAATACGATGACCAAAGAGAAGGAATTGTTTAAACCTAAGGTGGATGGTAAAGTTGGAATGTATGTTTGTGGTGTTACTGCTTATGATCTTAGCCACATTGGTCATGCTAGGGTTTACGTTTCCTTCGATATCCTATTCAGGTCCTCTCTCGTTCTCTTATATCCTCTTTATTTCTCAAGTCAAACTGTTCTCGAGTTTCGATGAATTGTACGTTGTTGCAATCTCTGTTTGGATGCAAAAGTCGTCGTAATCAAACTCATTATTGAGATAAATATAGAATTAGCAACTGATTTCCCATTTCGGATTATCAGATGCAGATTCTTTAACTCGTGATGATAACTTCGAAAATGCACCATGGAACATGTGGCTATCTCAATTGAATTTGTCTGAAAACTCATTATTGAATGTTCTTATATTCATAGCGTCTACACAAGATTCTTTGTATCTTAAAGCGTTTAGTGGGTTGTTTCTTCATCTTGGCTATTACTAATCATGTGGGTTTCTGTTTGTTTTTGTTGACACTTAGGCAGATACCTACGATTCATGGGATATGAAGTGAACTATGTTCGAAATTTTACTGATGTTGATGATAAGGTGAGTGAAGCTAACTATTGATCATATCATAATGAATGCATATAGAGCTAAATTGTTACAAATGTATGTGCAATTTTCAAATTGTGTAGATAATTGCTCGAGCAGGTGAATTGGGAGAAGATCCACTTAGTTTAAGCAGACGATTTTGTGAAGAATTTCATCTAGACATGGAATATCTTCATTGCTTGCCTCCTACTGTTGAACCCCGTGTTTCTGATCACATGCCCCAAATCATTGATATGATAAAGCAGGTAGGTATCTTTTTAAACTTTAGCATTACATATGAAATGAAAGTGCTTCCATTTCTGATTGTTTGAATCATCAATGTGTAAATCTTATCACAGATTCTTGATAATGGACGTGCATACAGAGTTGAAGGTGATGTATACTTTTCAGTTGATGAGTTTCCTGAATATGGAAGACTTTCTGGAAGGAAGTTGGAAGATAATAGAGCTGGTGAACGTGTGGCAGTTGACTCCAGGAAAAGAAATCCAGCTGATTTTGCTCTATGGAAAGTAAGTTCCTATTCCTAAATCCTAATCAGTTGCTTATAAAAGCTAATAAGGGTAGTTAGGTAATTTTACATATTTGGGGGTTGTAGTCTGCAAAAGAGGGTGAGCCATTTTGGGAGAGTCCATGGGGAGCTGGAAGACCTGGGTGGCATATTGAGTGTAGTGCAATGAGTGCTACTTATTTAGGTTACTCATTTGATATTCATGGTGGTGGAATGGACCTTATTTTTCCTCACCATGAAAATGAAATTGCTCAAAGCTGTTCAGCATGTCACAAAAGCAACATAAGTTACTGGATACACAATGGATTTGTCACCATTGATTCACAGAAAATGTCAAAATCTCTTGGTAACTTTTTCACAATTCGCCAGGTAAAATAATTTCTTTTCACTTTTCACCCTTTTTACTTAATGTGGACAATAAGTGTTTAATCTTTGAAGTTTGAACATGATGATGATTCAGGTTATAGAACTGTATCATCCATTGGCATTGAGACTTTTTCTGATTGGGACCCACTATCGATCCCCTATCAACTACTCTGATGTCCAGCTGGAAACTGCTTCTGATCGTGCCTATTACATATATCAGGTATCTAATACTAAAGACTGTTTTGCCCTTAGGTAGTTTATGAAAGAATGAAGATTAATGAATTGGGTTGGGTTGCAGACATTGAAAGATTGTGAAGAGGTTGTAGGGAAAGAAGAGGTTGAGGAAGAGAATATAAGATTAGGAGCAGACATTGTTGAATGCATAAAAAGTTTTAATGATGTTTTTGTTACTTCAATGTCTGAGGATCTTCACTCTCCTGTTGTCCTGTCTGCAATGTCTGACCCTTTGAAAACAGCAAATGATCTTTTACATACTCGTAAGGTACCATTAAATTTTCCCTCTTTAATTATTTCTTTTTCTAGAAAGTAAAATACAACCGAATTGTAAAATCCTTTTTTATTTTTATTTTTTCACATCACAGGGAAAGAAACAAGGGACACGAAAACAATCACTTGCTGCTATAGAGAAGAGTATCAGGAATGTCCTCAACATTCTAGGGCTCATGCCACCCACTTACCATCAGGTACCTAATTCAATTATTATTTATTTTTTTGTCAAATAGATTATAATTTATAAATATGATTTATCCATATGCATATTTGTGGTGGTTTGAAGGTTTTACAGGAGCTTAGGGAAAAGGCACTGAAGCGTGCAAAAATAACAGAAGAAGAAGTTGTTGAAAAAATCCATGAAAGGAATGCAGCAAGAAAGAACAAAGAGTATGAACGATCGGATGGAATCAGAAAAGATTTGGCTGCAATTGGAATCGCACTCATGGATAGCCCCGAGGGGACTACCTGGAGACCCGCGATTCCGCTTGCAATGCAAGAACAGTATGTTCCGGAATCATGATTCCGTAGCATCACGGAATCATGATTCCGTCTTATCGCATAAAGCTGATTTTTGAGATGAGGTTATATTATTTACAAGATGTGGTCATGTAATTGTACAAAATATTAAAGGTGACTGAATGGAGTGAAATTAATTACTTTATTTTTATATACATATATAAAAGCAATCTAAATGGAAAATTCGGAGAATTCTTAACATAATGTTCGGCTATTTCATATCAAAGGCATGCTTAATGAAAGATTACAAATATTTCTCATCTTTCTCAAATGAATTGTTTAGATTCGTTAAGTCAACCTCACCAAATCTGGAGATGATATCTTTGTTTCAAAACAAATTTCTTGGTGAATTACCTAAGGAAATCGGGATGCTTTGATGCTCAAGATCGTAATTTTATTTGAGAATAAGTTTCCAGGAAATGTAAAACTGCCTATTTGTTTCACTTTGACAGATTTCTTGTTTCTTGTTTTGTGTTTTGCAGATTTGGGTTTGGGATTGTGTTTTTGTGAAACTATCTTAAATAGGATACTTTCCTCTTCATTCTTGCTTTCGCAGTGGTGTTGGGATTGAGATTTTGTAAAAAAAAAAAAAAAAAAATTGTTTTTCTGGGTTTAAATGATGGTACATGTCGTTACCCTTCTTCATGTCAGATGGCATTAGAGCGTGTATACCTAGTTTTGGATTGTAGGGGTATTGAAGAGACATGGTGACCGAAACCATTTTATATTCATTTTAGAGATTTAACAATTAATAAGGTGTCAAAGTTAAGGATCAAAAACCACAACCAAATTTTTCAAAAAGACTATATTTGTCATATCACTATAACACTAGTTTTTATTATTATTTTATTATTATTATTATTTTTTTTCATCTAACAAGAGATGAGAAATTATTCTGTAACGTCCCAAAAACCCAAAACCAAAAAAAAAATTGTTTTTATATTAAATAAAAATCAACCAAACATGATGGTCAATCCCATAAGAAAGTCATAGTATATTAATGATCATCCAAAGTACACTAGAGTCAATAAAGCGGAAAAATCATGGTGTGTGTACGATACGATCATCCCGAGCTCTTCCCCTTCAAACTGGAAGTATCTGAAACATAAACTGAAAATCGTAAGCACAAAACTTAGTGAGTTCCCCAAAGTAACTCATACCACACATAGCATGCATACATACATACATATACCGGGCCCCGTCCGGTACATCCATCAGGTCCCACCTGACATCGGGCATCGGGCTCTGTCGGCATCGGGCCCCGTCCGATATACATACATCACAAACTATACATGCAAGGGTCACACAGACAACTGGCAAACTAATAACCATAATCCATGGGCCGGTATTGGTGCCTTCGACCCGCTAAACACTGGGAGGAGACTCACCTCGATAAGAAGATAACAAATCTCACACCCGAGTCTGTTGCACAACAGCTCCTCACACTGAACACAATCAATACCAACCCTAGTTACTATCTAAGGTTAAGCCCATAAATCATAAGGCATAATAATGATCCAAGCCCAAACTAGGCCCATAAATGGCCCAAGCCAAACTAGAGGACCATAAGGCCTAATATAGGCCCAAAAGTTCCCAAATGGCCTAAAGTCAACGGTCCAAACTTCAATAGCCGACCCTCACGTTGTGACTAGCTCATGGTTACGTCGTGAGTATGAACTTGACCCGGACCCAACTCAACGGGTCAACTCAGCCAATACAGTCGCGACCACTCAGTCACGTCGTGACCTAAACTAACCAATACAGTCGCGGATGGCATGCATTCTCACGTCGTTGCAGGCTCATCCTTACGTCATGAACTTTTTGGCCAACTTTGAGCATTAAGCTCTTATTCCTTTAAGCTACTACTTGGGAGTTTCCAGAGGGTCTTCCCTCACCCAAAAGATAATAAAAATCGTAGCTTTTTAGTTATGCATGTCCAATGCATGAATTAAACACTCAATAGGTCAAAAGAGGGAAAATGAGATCAAGACTCATACTTGGAGTCTAAAGCCAACTCTAAAACTCAGATCCAAGGCTTATAATAAAAAAGTTGTCTCAATGATCTACAAAGTTGCCAACTTTATGGATCTCATGCATGCTATCCAACTCAACCATGCAAAAAGGAGCTTAAAACCTTGATCTAGCATGCAAGAGGTAAAAAGCCTAGAGCTTTATGACTTACAAGGGTCCAAAAACTCTACAAGAAGGTGAGGTAGAAGCTAGGTTGCCAAGAGGATGCTCCACAAAAGTCTTCTTCCACTTTTGACTAAGCATTAGTATGATGATGTAATAGTTAGGGTCAACAATTGTAACCTATTTTGAAGTAATAAAGAAGAATTATTTGAGTATTATGTGATTTATGTGATTTTATGTTCATTATACTTATTTATAACGACGTAATAAAATAGTAATAAAAATAAGCGTAAAAAATAAACTAATAGATAGACCCAATATCTATGAATAAAGTTGAATTAGTCGTAACAAGGATTTCGGGGATATAAGGAACGTTGAAATCCGACTTATAATGAAAAAGTTATGACCTGTCAAAGTTTTGTGGCAAAACCGGCACGACACCGGGAATCGTAAAAAGTGAATTTACGATAAAATACTTTTTAGCCTTAGCAATATAAATGAAAGTAGTAGTATACATTAAACCGAGAGCGTGCATAAAAAGAACGTCGAAATCTGACTTCGTATGAAGAAGTTGTGATTTTTCTAAGATTTAGCATAGCAATGTACAGCCTGGAAATCGAATTTTAGATCGGTAGATTTTTAGGCAAAACAATCTAAATGAGAATGGAAGATCTCGTTAATAGGAGCTCAACAAAAAAAAGACAGTCGAAAACGGAACTCGTATGTGAAAGATATGGACGAAACTTAGTTCCTACTTTTCGAGCGCGATAAATTCGATACAGATTTGTAAATATGAGATAGAATGAGAATTTACCAACGGGGTCTAAATGAAAGTTGTAGTACTCGTAAATACCAACAAGTGGATATAAAGAACGTAGAAAGCGGAGCTCGTACGCGGAAGATACGAACGAAACTTAGGGCCTACTCTAGAATCAAATCCCTATAAATAAATGATGAATTCTTCATATTTTCTTACACCATTCCTCTAAACTCTCTCTAGAATCCTTCTTTCTTTCTTGTTCAATTTCTCCTAGTTTTATGGTGCGATAGAGAAACTCTGAGTTGTCAAAAAGCCGATGAAAGAAGTTTTTAGAGTCGGAGTTCTGCCTGCGTAATTTCCCGGTTTTCGTTAAAAACCCGCTTTCGTCGAAGGAAAATAAATTATTAGAAACGAAGCGCTGCCCGAGTTGGGAATCACCACTTTAACATGTGAGTGCATAGTTACTTTCATCTTACACATAGATATGAAGTATTTAATATAAACTACATGTTATGTGTGCATATTATTTGTGTTCCTGATATCTATACTGGATGAACGATTTATACATGTTTTAAATGATTTAAACTGTATATGTATTTTATATCTACGAATATGTTGGGTATAACATGCGTAAATGAAATAGTTGATGTGTGATGAAATAAAATGATGAGAGGCCTCGATGTTTACGATGATCCAGTCATCTAGCTGAGTATAGATGACGATTGCAGACTATTCTTGACAGTCTAGTGGGGCACTAGAAGGCTCGCTGTAACATCCCAAAATTTAAGACCAAAAATTTCATTTTTACATAAAAAATTATAAAACCATTTGCATGAAAACAACCATAGAAAACTCATATCAAAAACCAATGTATCCATAATCAAAATATGTCATGACAAAATAATATCAGAGTATAAATCCCATAGATCTCATGTGCGGAAATCCTGGTGTGATGCGCTGCAGTCATGCCAACTCCTTTCCCTTCGAAGAGGAAGTACCTGAAACCAAAATCGAAAACTGTAAGCACAAAGCTTAGTGAGTCCCCCCCATCATACCACATACCATACAATAATATAGTGCCTAACATATCTGGGTGCTGGCCTACCCCTTCGGTCTCTTTCAACTGGTATCCGGGGACTATTTCACCCCTACCACTACCACATAATATCCTAGCATATACATATAATTCTGATACTGCCTATCATATTTGGATGCTGACCTACTCATTCGGTCTCTTTCAACTGGTAACTGCCTAGCATATCTAGGTGCCGACCTACCCCTTCGGTCTCTTTCAACCGGTAACCGGGGACTATCCTACCCCTCCTACCACTATCACATAATATCATAGCATACTAGCACATAAATCATAACAGATAGTGGCATACCAGACAATTATCACAAAGACAATAATCTCAACTATAAACAACTACTAGTGGGCCGACATTGGTGCCTTCGACCCGCTTCTACTGGAAGGTAACTCACCTCGATAACTGAGAATAACTGCAAAGACTCTTGCTCTAAAATCAATCTCTCTCAGACTCCTACACATAAACATTTCCTTTGATTACCCTTCCATACTTATGACCCCTAAAGGGTCAACTTTGGTCAAAGTCAAAGTCAAAGTCAACATCTGGTCAAAGTCAACACCTGGTTGACTCAACTCGCCGAGTGGGTTCATCAACTCGGCGAGTTCCATTAATCATAAAACATTGAAATCGTGATCCAACTCGTTTAGTTCTTTCTCAACTCGTCGAGTTCCTTCTATCCACAGTATCAGGACTTTCCCATTCTACTCGTCGAGTTATCCTTGAACTCATCGAGTTTTTCCCTTTACAGAATCGGGACGTTTCAACCCAACTCGTCGAGTTCCTCAATGGACTCAACGAGTTCTTCAGTCTGTTGGGCCATCTTAATAGATTAAGCTCATATTCTTCGGATCTAAGCCCCTTACTACATCTACATGCTGAAAATGTCCTTTTAAGGGTAAAGTTTCCAACTTTACCCGTTAGTAGCTCTTCTTAATGGGTTTAGCTCAAACCCTAATTCTTTAAGACTTAGCTCTTGATCCAAAAGCCATAATACTTCAAACTAAAGCATAAAAACTGAGATCTAGACCCTAGACATCATATGAACACGTAAAGTCCCGGGCTTTCCCTCCATGCATGGCCTTTTGGAGCTTAAAAGGCCAAAATGACACCTTAAAGCTTGCATGGGACTTCCATGGTCATAAAGTTTGCACCTTTATGCCATGAAAGTCCTTCTAGACCATAGATCTGAAAGAGTA